AGCATCAGTTATAAAGGAGCAAGTCTGCCTTTGAAGAAAAATTGACAATAGAGAGGATAGAAAAGTGGACACAAGTGATAACTCGCAGTGGCATGAAGGCTAAAGAGATTTGTTTAGAAGGACTGCGAACTATTTCTGACCCCGAGGTTAAAAACAACCCGCCATGTTGTTTTCTCGCACTAGTGTAGCCTGTTATTTCATTAAATTGAATGAGTTAAATTTATGAAGAATTGCTTTGTTTTGAACCCCAAACTCATTCGGAAGAACAGCATTCTCATAATGAACAAGTATTCGGCAAGCATTTTGTCTTGGGAAAGCCATTTCCTTACTGGCACAAGCACAATGTAGGTTGGGTGCCAAATTTAGGGCTTAGAAAGAAAACTTCTGAATGTAAGATATACTATGAACTGAAAGCCAAGAGGAAGGAGAGGGCCAAGATAAGAGAAACACGCCTTCGAGCAACAGTAACATGGATTGGCAGAGCAGTGTCCGAAGCTAACTGAAAGTATTCTTTCTGTGGCCCAGATTGACTTCACTCAGCCATATACCTCCACAGAAGAGGAACAAAACGGGACACAGGGGAAACCAAGATGCCTCTCCTGGTAATCACGGCAATCATCCATTTGTATTGTGACAGCTCATCAAAAACAAACTTGTGAAATTAACAGGCTAACTTCATGAGTTTGAAATGTACTGAGGCAGTCTTACTTTCTACTTCAGAAGCTTGTGGACAGCCAATCAGTACAAGGGACCATTAGCAGCTGGCTACATGAATGAAGACATCGCTTAAAAAATTAATTTTACTTTTTTGGAATGGAAAGAGAAACAGATTATTTTCTTTTGGGGTTTCTGTTCAAAGACCATGCAAATTTTGGTGATTTGAAGCTGTTCTTTTCAGAGGACGGCTATGAAATGTATAAAGTCTTACAAGGCACGTGCTGAGCTTTTACTCTGCCCATCACAGCTTTTGTTTTGCCACGTTCTGGTTTCCGTCACCGTCGTGTTTTTAGAACATTAGAAAAAGCTCAACATTATTAAACCAGTGGCTATTAAACTGATCAACAGATGTATTTCAATCAAAAAGTTGCTCCTCTGTAGCCAGCTGTAAGCCACATTCTTACATCAATGAATACTGTACAAACCGGCTACAAGTCATGAACAACGCAAATATAGGTACAATGAAGTGAAGATCAACTCATCCAAAGGGTCAGGACTTTAGATGTCATCAGATAGATCAGTGGTAAGACTCTTTTCTTAAAAGAATTAGACAGCTTTAAGTGGAAGTAGATGGAGAAGAGTTTAGAACTGTAAAGGAGTGTAACCTAACAGGAGCATTAAACCTCTTTACACTTGCTTGATTTCAATTAAAGTCAGTTCTTGAATGAGTGAAGTTTTTTTAACCTATTAAGTATACTAGAATCATAAGTGTGTATTACTTTATTTCTGCATTCAGAAATTTCCATTTCGACGTTGACACATCTTTTAATATAATTGGGACCATTTCTTTATTCCTCATCAGATTTCAAAGTAAAGACAACAACTATTTTGCTAACTTCAACTTAATTTCTCCATGCTTCACGAATTAAAGTTGCTGTCTCTGATGCAAGGCCCAATGCAACATTAACAAATAAAGACAAAATGCTCTTAGCGTGCTGTTTTCCTGCACACACCAAAGGTGTCTACAAAATCCTTTAAAGTATTAAGGCCTTCATAGATGACATGTATCTTGACCAAAATAACGTCATAAAAAAACATTTCAGATATAAAAAGACAATTTAAAGCTCATCATCTCCAGCAATTAGAATATCACTCTAAATCCCATGACATAAAAGAAGTGGCTGACCTTGGAAAGCTACAAATAACAGGAATACGCTTACAGTCTTGTTTGGGATGCGGGGCAGGCTTCGTTGAATCATGTTTGTGTGTTAGTAGTGTGCTAGTTTACCTTGTGGCTTGGACAAAGGTGATTGCTCTCCTGTACTGAAACGAAGGGCCCTTGGATACATCTCAGTCTAGCAAACAATGTTAAATACTCTCGTGTCTGCAGTATTAACCTTGAATCTGCAAAGAAAATGAAAGCTGTCTTCAATGAAACAAGAGAGAATCTGGATGAGGGACTTCAGCTTCCTGAGAACTTGGAAGTCTTCACTGAAAGCCATGCTCAGAAGCCGCAGTTACAAATGGGAAACTTTTATTCTCACCCCACCAAACTCAAACAAAGCCTGTTTTGCTGAGCATGGTACCCCTGTATGCCGACCAATTACATGTTGCACAGTCACAAAATCGCAATCTGGATTGTATCAATCCCACACTACACCCACTTTTCTAGAGATAAAATGTTTACCAAAGACCCCATCGTGATCCAAAATTTTGTCTGAGGTATTTCCTACTGATCGCAGAAATTCATTTGTTTTGCCTCTCTTCTGAAAGTTTCCATATTTCTTCTCCTTGACTAGTATTTGAAGGTACTTTTTCCACAGTAATTCCTTTATCACCACAACTTCTGGTCCCATAGTCAGAAATCACACATAAAAACCTTTTTTTTCTCTTACATCAACGCAATTCATCCAACTGAAGAGGGCCAAGGTTCTAATGAATAATGTATGCTTGTTTCAAGTTGTATGTATACCTTCTGCTTCTTAAGCAACTAAAGTCCATTTAATATATGAAAAAGGCTATGAGGAATCTAAAAACAGTGGAGTAAAAATGAACAGACAATCAGCACCTGCTTAACCAAGCAAGTAGATCTCAAGGAAATCGTTACAACTGCGAGAAGCCAAATCACATCACCTACTACTGCTGCTCAGGGCCACTAGGTCAGAATAAGTTTATATAAGAATAAGAGCTGTACAAAGGTGCCTCACTATGGTAGTTAAGCGAGGTGGAGTTTCTATACAAGTCTCCTGGTCTCCAGATCTGAAGTATTAAGTTCAAATATCCACTCCATTTTTGCATGAGTCAACCAACTGCACACCGTCAGAGGGGGAAACACGAGGGGATACCTTCTCTCACTGCTGTTGAGGTCAACCTCTACTAAAAAGTTTTGTGTGTTGCGAAAGATCTCTGCATTATTCACAGATGCGTACATAGTATTTACTTCGCTCCGTGTTCTTTGCTGGAGTAAAATTGGAGGATATTACCTCCCATATTAAGTTATTTGCTGATGACGCCTTGTTGTATGGTCTGGTACACAATTCCGACGATGCAATGAGCCTCCAACCTGATCTGGACAAATTAGTTGAATGAGCAAAGATGTGGCAAATGGCCTTCGATCCATCAAAGTATTACGTTCTACGCGTTTGCAGAACCAAGTGTCCTTTTATACACCCACACACTATGCTTAGCCATACCTTACAGGCTGTGGACCACTATTTTTACCTCAGGGTTTCTCTATCAGGGGACCTAGGAAAGTGCTTTAGTTATTAGTTAGGAACTTGCGAATATATCTGTTATAGATATTGCAAGATGATATATGTAAATGTTAATATGCTTCTGAACTGTAATTTGTTCAAGCATTTTCGGTTTTCAGATGACTTTTCGTCTTTGACATTGTTTCTTCCTATAGCTGGACTGTCATTCTTTTTATAAATATGATGTTCCCCACATACAAACAAATCACCACGAGCGATGTGAAATGAAACTGTTTGCATTTAGATGTGTAAACACCGAGGTGAGCGCCAATTGAGAGGTTTAGTTAAGTATTTCCTACCTTAAAAAAATCAAACTGCTAGAAATCGGCAACCTTAATTTGTAAGCCAGTTTTTTCTGTTACTATTCTTGTAATGTATTAGTTAACACCTATTGTTTTTCTTTAATTCTTACTCTTATTTTGTTATATAATTTTGTGTAACCTTTTCCTTAATTGATTATTTTTTTTCGACACATTCTAAAATGATTTGATGATCAATAGAGAATATACTTCTGATCAAACGCAACCACACTTCACTAATATAAACAACTTTTGTTTTGTAAGTGCCACACGACAGGAGTAGAGAGTATATAAATTTTCATCAACTTATTTATACCTTACAGGCAAAACCATAGGTAAAACTTTTAAGTTTCTCACCATGTCAATAAACTTTGGGGAGCGCAGAAAATGTTTTTTCATGCACTCACAGGCACTTAAGAAATTGGTGGTTGGTAATTGTGCAAATATAATATTTTAACAATAGTTTGATCACACAAGCATTGTGATGGCCTGTATATTTCATTGCTTCAATCAAGATTCTACCGTCAAAAACTGGACAGTGGCATAGGACAAAATACATTATTCTATGATGATGTATTACCACACATCTCAAATAACTCCCTATAGTTGAAAATTCTTTGCTTGATTGGCAAGCATTGCCATCAGCTTTGAATAATGATGAGGATCTTCACAACTTTATCAGGGTAATAAAAGCTGGAATTACCCTAAGAAAGAAAAAGTTGTGGTTATTCATCGTGGTGAATAACAATAAAAGCTAAGTTTTTCGTTTGTCTCACGATGTAGTCACGTGTGATGTAGATCGCGACGTTTCGACTGCATACTGCTAGTCTTCCTCAGATGATGAGGTCGACTGGTCATGCGTGATCTTATGGTGCTCTGCTGTGATTAGTTGTTTTTCAACAGCTCTGATTGGTGCATTTCAATCCTTGCTGTTCACTCAGTGACTTGCTCCCTCAGCGTTCCGCTGTCGCACGGCTCTCCTGTTGTTGTGTTTCTTGATCGTGGGCATCCACGCTTCTGGAATTTCTATTCCACTATCCCTGTTGATGTTTTTAGGGTGAAGCCTTATATGAATTGCCTCTTTCACCCTGTGCGTGTAGCAATAAGGGTCACGATCAATAAACTTTACTTCATTCCAGAGTGGCTTGTGTCCGGTGTTGTGGGCATGCTCTGAAACGGCGGAGGTCTCAGTACGGGCGAGTCGAATGTCTCGATCATGCTCCTTAATTCTGTCTTGCATAGGTCTTCCAGTGTCTCCGATGTACACCTTGCCGCATTCACATGGAATCCTTTAAACTACGCCATCTTGTTTAGACGGGTCGACAGCTTCTTTTGGTCGCACTAACTGAGATCTTAGTGTAGTCTCCGACTTGAAATCAGTGCATACACCTTGTTGTTGTAGGCAACGGCGAAGCTGTTCGGACAGACCTTTGACAAAAGGTGAAACCGCAGTAGCTTTGAACTCATCGGCGGATTCGGCACTGTTGTTTGGTTTTGGCACTGGCACTGTTGTCCGGTCCTGGTAAGTTTCTGCAAGAAAGAAAAAGGCTAACCATTAGAAACCAGAACAGACGACAGGTGTTTTTTCTCCTCGGAGATGACAGAGGGTTTTGTTACGAGACCTTTGGCGCGCTCGTAAAGGCACTTAACAATACCGCGTTTTACTGATTGAGGGTGCTGTGAATCATGGACTAAGTGTTGATCAGTGTGGGTGGGCTTCCTGTATACGCTGGTAGTGAGGCGGCCGTCAGGTTCTCTTAAAACTGCGGTGTCTAGAAAGGCGAGTTTGCTGTCTTTTTCTGTCTCAATGGTGAAGCAGATAGAAGGCTGCTGGTTGTTTAAATGCTGTAAGAAGTCATCGACGTTTTCGCGATCCAGGATGGTAAAGGTATCGCACACGCAGCGTTTCCAGATCCTTGGCTCGTAGGATAATGGAATTATCGCCTGTTCTTCGAAACTCTCTATGTATAGGTTAGCAATGACAGCGGAAACTGGACTCCCCATGGCGGTGGCATCTTTTTGCTCATAAATCGATCTGTTATACTGGAAGTATGTGGATCTCAATACGAAGGTCAAAGGGTCAGCGATTTGTGCACGCAGGCATTAGCGTGGTGCGGTCTGCAAGGCTTGGGTCGTTCTCGAGTTTCTGCAATGCGGCTTGTACAGCGGCATCGATAGGAACGTTGGTAAACAGCGATTCTATGTCGAAAGATACTATGATCTCGTTGTCTAAGATCGTCTCATTGCTGACGGTGGACACGAAGTGGGCTGAATTTGTCACTGTGTACTTTGACTTTCCTGTAAAAGAGACAAGATGTTGGAATGCCCACAATCAAGAAACACAACAACAGGAGAGCTGTGCGACAGCAGACTGCTGAGGGAGCAAACCACTGAGTGAACAGCAAGGATCGAAATGCACCAATCAGAGCTGTTGAAAAACAACTAATTACAGCAGAGCATCATGCTTTATAACATCACACATGACCAGTCGACCTCATCGCCTGAAGAAGACTAGCAGTATGCAGTCGAAACGTCGCAATCTACATCACACGAGACTACATTGTGAGACAAACGAAAAACTTAGCTTTTATTGTTATTCACCACAATGAATAACCACAACTTTTTCTTTCTTAGGTTAATTCCACTAATGTAATAAGACAATCAGACATATATAGCCATGGTCTCCACACATCAAGAAATGGGCAAGGGAAAAATACCTTCAAAATCACAACGTAGGGAAAATTGAATGAAAGATTTGTCTAGAGTGTTACGATTCAGACTTAGAGAAGATTACAGAATGGGTAAAAGTGAACAATAACTCCCACGTTGAGCTGTCGGTAACCTGTTGGCCAACCTTTGGCCGACAGGATACTGACTCATTACCAACACATTACCGACAGCCGGTCAACAGTGTTAACCAGACTGTAAGTACCAATTTTTGTATTTACCTTCTTCCTAACTTGTTCTTTTACACTAAATAGGCTTGTTTGCTTGGTAGCAAAAGGGAAGTTTTTCAATCGCCCTATAATGCATTGCGAAACCATAGTTTACAATACTTCATGTATGTCTGATTAAGCTTTTTTTTCTTGTAACAGGTTGCGATCATCGTCCTTTTTGGCGTATTGTGACAATTAAAATATTAAAGTATACCTTTTTTGGCGTTTTATTAGACTTCATTTTATTTTATTTATAAAAGACATGAACACGTTGGTCATTAACTTTTATTTTATTTTGTGGCTCTTAGAGGAGCCGTTTGTTTAGGCCTGAACTAAATGAACTTAGTTCGGTAGGATGATCTTTGCTATGTGGGACATGTAATTGAGTCTGTCTCCCTGGTTTGCCTCTGGATGAAGTTTACTTCAGTTGAACTCGTCGAGGTAACCTGGTAGTTTGGCTCTCATGGTCCCATTCATCGCCTTCAGCTTCCTTTTCACTTGACTGCAGAGTCCCTGCATGTGGTTGGCGAGAGCTTGTCAGAAATGATCACGGTGCCAGGTTCATTGAACTCGTGCAGTACTCGGGTTACCAAGGTCTCTTGTTGGTGATCTGGAACACGAAAAAGTAGACTTTGCCCAGTATCTCGCACTGCCATTCCAAATACCCACTGGCCCTCAGAAACGTGTCCACAGTTGTACTTTCGCTTGTTGCCAAACATTAACTCATCAATTTCCACTTTTTTCCCTCGGCCACCTAGCATGAAGTTACCGTTTAAGATCTTCATGGAGTAGATATTGCAGATTTTGTCTGCTGCAGTAGCAACAGAAGAAAGTGCAATTGCCATCTCGGCCTCCTCTGCAAAAGAAACGGACCATTCAGAAATCCTGCCACACACCATCGCAGAGCGACGAGCCAGAGCCAGACAACAGGAAGCTGTATTTTAAGCTTGTCCGACGCCATAAATGAGTCGGAAAGGCTTTCCAGGCACGCCAAACAGCATGAGGAAAATCGAGAAATCGAAGAGTTGAACAACGATACCCAGGAACTAGTTGACCTTGTCAAAACTAAGGAGAAAGTCATTGAAGAGCTCAAAAACTCCCTGGTTGAGGCAAGAAACTGCGTTTCAGCCATGGAGGAGGAAATCCGTAGCTAACAAGCAAATAAGGCTGAAGCAGTAGACGAGGAACGTGGGGAGCACACAACCCATTGGGTCAGCACTCACAACCTTGACAACAACTCCAGTAAACAACAGTAGTCGCGCAGACCACAAAATATTTTGTGATATTGTTGGTGACAATTTTCTTTATCAGACTGTCCCTGGCCCCACGCATATTGCCG